TCTTCTAACCTGAACGAAATATACATGAAAGCATATGATAAATAGACTCACGGAGATTTTGCTTTTTTTGCCACATAATCCTCCAAATGTGTTAGTGTATTTATATCCTTATAGACGTAAGGACTGTGTTTGATTTTAATAGGCCTATTTATAGTACACTTAAATGAATACATTTTTTTTCAAGATTGTAAAGAGGTGGAGGTCTCTTTAAGATAAAAAATCTTACAGAGGTGTCTGAAAAGGCAGTTGTTCTTTTCCATGCATACGGAGATAGCCTATGGTAATCGGAGACCTAAACCTGAATATTGATAGCAAAAGAGTGCTCTTAATGTAAGCAAGTGTTTCTTCTCACCTCAGCTGGGCTGGAGAGGTGGTGGACTATAAAACTGACCTGGAAAGAAACAAAAAATGTGTTTCAGTGTTAAGAAGAGGCTTGCAGTATGGTAAGAATGAGTGAGCTGCTGAGGAGAGGGCTTGTTAAGGTACTTTTTGAAGCCACAGAGCTTTAGGATGGTGTATTTGAGAAAAGTTTGTAGGTTGCAGTATCTGGGACTGAAGGTACAGCCCCAGGGGAGAAATATGAATTTGTGCTTTAGAATGTAGAGAGGGGAAATGCTAATTGTAAGGATTCTTGTGAGTTCTTTACTGATGAAAACTGCGACAAGGTTGCAGATGACCTATCCTGCTAGTTGAGGAAGAGATGATGTTACTAAGGCCATAGTGTTCAAAAGGACCTTCCTCCCAAAATATAAGCATTATTTTTTTCTTTTCCCTCTTCTTAAGAAACATATTAAAAAAGGGAAGGAGTGAAGCTAAGGGAAAATGCTTCCATCTGCCCTCAGTACAGGTTTCTCTAGTTAGAAACTACCATCAATTTGCCAAATAACGCAAATGCTTATTATCAAGAAAGATCTCTTTTCATTTAGAAATTAATTAGTTTGAAATATTGCCTTGAATGTAATGCATAGGTGCTTATGAAGGGAAAGTCTTGTAATCATAAAAAAAAAAAAAAAGAAATTTGGAATGGACAACTTTGTTTCTGAGCTCACCATTCTGGGTAAGATAAGAAATCAGACTGACTTACCAGTATGTTGCCTTTTAAGGATATTGATTAAGACCTTGTAGATTACTTCTTAGGAAGTGTAAATGGTTAGGAATAAGATTATTTGCTCCCACAAACAGACAGAGAACTATTTTCTCCAGAAGTGATTCTCTTATAAATGATATTTTTGCTTTCTCTTTATGTTCCTCAATCCATTTTCCCCTGGAAAACACTGTGCTTTCATTGCCATACATTACTGAAGAACCTCGCATTTGTGATCTATCTCACTAATAACTCATAACCCTGAATGAATGTTATAAACATACATCATCTAAGCAAGGTGTGTTGATGATCTATAGCATAATTTAGATATAGATGTTACTCAAAGATCATGGCATTTGGATGCAAACAGTGTAGTTATGAAGTAGGGTGTTGCACATGCAGATGGTAGTTGCTTTTGGACTTGACAATAGTGAAAGCAAGGTTGCCTATTTCTTGGGTGAGAAGTAATGTGAGCATGGTTTTTGTTTTTCAATTACTGCCACATTGGTGGGTTGGGTAACCCTCACGAGTATGACCAAAACTTGTCCTTGATAAGCACGTGTAAGCGCAGGGTGTGAAAGGAGCAATGATGAATTACAAAAGAAGGGAGAAGTTGGAAGAAGAAGGGGGCTGAACTACACATAGATTTTGGTGAATAACTATGTGACTGCTTTGAGCAGGACAGTCAGACTAGGTGACATCCAGAGGCCCTTTTCAACTTCCCTGTTTCTGTGGTTTCTGGCAATAGGTAAAATGCTAATAATGATTACCTATGAAGAGCCTAAGTATGGGAGAGGAAAAAGGTGAAGAACGCCAGCTGAAGTGAAGAGGTTAGAAAGAAGTCTAGAATGAGGCATTTTTCTACCCAAGTTAACTTCCCACTCGTGACTAATAGATGATAGCTCTGGGTTTTCCTATGCAGACTTAACCTGATGATTGGAAAGAAACAACTGTTATTTGTGAACTTGAACAGCTACAGACCAATGTATTTCTAGAAATGGAAATTATTATTGCTAGTTGCTTCTTCTGCCACAAATTCTTGCCATGCATGAGTAAGCACCCTGAAGAACCCACACATAGGATGAGTATAGTTTCTGCCAGCTTGCCAGGCTCTCTTTTCTGGGCAACATCTCAACCTCAAGAGAATGGTGGCATCTAAACTCTGGGAAATACACATTGTGCCATCATGCTTGACACTTCATTTTTTAAAGTAAGGAATAGAGTAAAACAACAGCCCCTGGAAGGAAGAGTTATGGATAGTAACACAGTTTCACCTTTGTCCTGAGGAATATTTGTACAGCCTTAGCCACCCTGTGATCTGATCAGGATTTGTGACTTTGCTCCTTCTGAAAAGATTATTCCTGAGGAGTTATGATGGACACCTCTCACCCGCCCCCACGTTCCTGCTCTTCTTGGTTTTACTATTGAAAAAAAAAAAACAATGCATTGAAACCTAATTCAATATGTGGATAAAAGCTGTATGAACTTTTCTGACCTGCGTGTCTAATAAATCAGTGTCTCAGTAAAGAACAGATGACTTAACCTCTGAGTCAGGAAGGTGGGGAGCAAGTCAAGGATATAGAGTACTTTCACAGTTTATTCAGACTTTGTGTTGATTAAGGCCATCTAGTTCCATCTAGAGGTCAAGTGTTCAGCTACCACTTCACCACCTTGTAGCAATTCAGCTCCTGCAATAGCCCTTCTACCAAAACACACTGCTATAAATTGGCCCATTAAAATGAATTAGATCCTGCAGAGTGGATGCTGGTCTGCAGGCACTGTGAGGGAGAAGTCCTTGTCACTAGGTTTCTTGATTTGGGCAGCACAGGAAAAGGTTTTATTTTATGCAGTAAACAGTTTCTTGTAAATTATTAGTGAATATATTTTAGAAAGGTGCAGCTGACTATAGATATGCTTTTCCACTGAGAATAAGGTCACCACTCTCATTACACTGCTATTAATGGGGTTTTGACTCAGCTGTTGTCAGCAGTTGATTCCAGATAGGTTCAGAACCATTTTTGCCTCATTATTAGTGCTGGTAAAGATAATCAATCAGTAGGAACAGCTTTATGAACAGCTAAGACAGCAGTTTACGTAAACACTGTAAGACACAGAAGACTATGTCATAGAAAAATGTCTCTGACCAGTCTCTGTGCCAGTACTTTGGGGTATTTGTAAGGGTGTTTCTTTTTAAGATGACAAATAAAGTGGACAGGTAAGAAGCTTTCCTCTTGGTATGCCTATGCATAATCCTTTTTAGTCCACTCTCTGCATTTTCCAGAGGACATGAGGGTGTTTTGCTGACTCAGAAGAAATTATTCCTTTATGCATTATGTGCTGCAGAAAGGGAGGTGAAAGGGGTTGCAAGATAAAAGAGACAGTAACGAAGTTGCAAAGGGCAAAATGCAGTGGAGATATATTTCCCCCCTCCTCCACAGTATTATAACAGAAGGACAGATAATAGCCCAGCTGAAGGATGCAGAGCATGGAAAAAATCATCACAGCCAGGTCTGAGGAAAAAGTAATAAATACAAGCTTTAAAATACCCAGTAAAAAAAGGGGTAATTTTTTTTTTTTAAATGGTAGTATATGGTGCACTGGTGTTTGCTTCTTTCCTTTATTTTTTTTTTCTTGAGCTTATGAATGGTATGATAAAGTATCTAGAGAAACCTCAAGCAAAGTTTAAATAACTGATTTTCCTTTTCTCTGCTTTTATCTTGGTAGAAGCAATTATTTTTAAAAGGCTTCAAACTTCTGTTTTGTAAGACTTGTTTGCAGAGGTTCAACAAACCATTTTATAAAGAGCTAAACATGACAGAAGTCCTCTGTAGAAAATCTAGTTGCATTTCATGAAAACCAGTGAATTGTGATGATTGTAGCCTCACCAGTGACTCCAAGCAAGAGAGTACAGTTTTACCTCTTTTATCAAGATTTGTACTTGTGTTAGTGATTTAGTAGGTGAATTGTTTTCTATGTTGGTATTGAACCTGTGCTATAGTTTAGTAAGGAGCATCATCTTGCCACTCATGCTGTGTTTCACAAGATGTAAATCTGAGGTCTCAGTCTCTTGTTAATGATCCTACAGCGTGCTCTCTTCCTTGAGTTAAAAATAGGTAGCATTCATACTGGGGCCAAGCTCAAGCATCACACCTGATAAGGTCATGAGAGCTGTGATGAACTTCTGCAGGCACAAGGTTCCTGCATGAAGTTTCTGTGGTTTCAACTAAAGATGGAAAGCTGCTTGAGTTAGGACTCAGTTCAGCTCAGTTCCTAACTGCACAGGACCTGATACATGGATACCAAGCCTTTGATTGTTGGAAGGTAATTCTACATATACTAATAAATGGGGACCATGTGTTCACAACCCTTCACCTTATCTCTGTCCTAGGTAAGTTTTCACTCTATGTTGCAGGCTGGTCTTTCAGCCTTTCACAGAAATGCACCTACTGGAAATTCCCAGATTCCACTGGAACAGGATAGCTTGGACGCATAATGATCAATACATGAGAACTGAAGATGAAGAAGTACTTTTGCAGACTACAATGAATAATTTCTTTATGAGCTCTCTTTTAATATTAGTTACATAAAATTAGTTACCAAAATGTAAAAATACAGTGTTTAAAGTTATTTGCACCAGTGTTAATCAAATTAGCATTTCTTTCCAACTGTGTCTTTATTTTAGAGAGGGAGAATTGCAATAAATACAAAAAAATCAACTTTTAGCAGTTGTCATAGATTTTATGTAGAAGTCAATTGCATACTACATTGATTACTGACAGCACAAAACCCTAGACAAATTAGGTAAGATGGGAATACTATATTAATATTTCTCATGACATTGCTTTTTGTCCCAGATAATTTTAATGAAACCTGATCATTTTGTTCCTTATTTTTCTATTATTTCTTTCCTGAAGTGTTCATGGTGGCTTGTTCTTTCAGGAGAAGCTTAATGTCAACAGTATGGGGCATCAGGTGATAATATTTGACTTTTCTCTCATAAGAGGACTGTGGGAAACTCGAGTTAAGAAGAACAAAGAACGTCAGAGAAAAGAGAAAGAAAGATTAGAAAAAAGCTCATTGGAGAAGTAAGCTACCTTTCCTGCTGTTCATTTTAACTAAATCCATTATTATTATTATTATCCAATAACACTGGCATATACTAAGTGCTATCAGATAATTCAAATCTTATATTTTTGGGTTTGATTTCAACAATTTCACACCTCCTTTTCTCAGATGATCATAAGAAAAATGCAGTAGAAATTGTGCTTCTGTTTCATTAGAGTCCCTGATCTTTCTTATATAAACTATGATTTACTAAGGCTGTATTTTATTGTCTACTGTATAGACTTAATTTGGAGAAAAAAAAAATTTTGTACATTTTTATTACTTATATGCTACATAAAAGTATGACTATTATAGAATTCATGAAAACATGCTAAAAAAATTAGTACTAAAAAATACTTTAAGGCTTTTTGTTGAGTTGACAGGAAAAACAAAAGGAATTAAATAAATGGGCATATACAATTGCTTCTGAATAAGAAAGAGAGGATAGAATAAAAGAATTAACATAGGATTTTCTTTCTTGTTAAAATATTAAAGAAAGCTTTGTTTGCAATGCTTACATACACTAATCATGTTATTGTTTTTGTTATATTTTATTTATAGTTTCTTTAAGGAATATTTTGGTTTCTTTATGTTCACTCCCATTACAGAGAGCGAAATATTATACTGTGCTGGCAATGTTGGAAACATGACTTATCATTTTTCCCTTCTGAGAAGAGAACAAAGCAATAAAAATAACTTCCTGCTTTAAAATGCACAGGGTTAAACAGTGTCGTTGTTTAAAAGCATCATTACATTCAACCTTTGTGTGGTGTTTTGGCTGTCTCAGGAGACATCCACTCATTGATTCTCACTGCCAGTGCAGCTACACTGAAAACAGAGCAACTGTGCTAAGAGAAGACCAGGGTAATACAAAGAGTGACTGCCCATTCTGTATAGTTGCAGTCTTGATTCTCCTGTCCCTACACCAATGCCTGCATTAAAAACAAGGGAAAATTGAACTTTTCCTTCAGATTAAAGGGTAAGCTTTTTTTTTTTTGGTATGAGCTGAGGGACAGAAAAAGTTTGCTGTTGTGATTTTTTTTTTTATGAGGAAAAAAAAAAAAGTGAAAGGATATGGGATGAAACTTGATCAAATCTTATTTTGTCCCAGATGCTACATTAAAAATGGCTTCACCCAGCTCTAACGCTGATAAAGCACACAACTCCCTACTGGTGTCTATGCCTGCTAGCGGCTCTTGGGGTGCCAGTGCAGCCTTCTTCATAAAAAGAATATTATGACTAGGAAGCCACACCTGTAGGTTCTAACAGCACATGCTGTTCATCTTCAGAACTGCTAGAAGGTCAGTCCCAGTGCAGATTTGAGCATCAGCATCCCTCTGCCATGTTTTGTTTTGGTTTTCTGGGTGCAGAAGATAACTTCTGATTTCACTAGTACAAAAGCAAACTAGAAATGCCAGGCATTGGAAGTTCTGTGCGAAAGAAGGAAAGAGGGTAACCTTGTATGGTCTAGGTAGATAATTCCAGCTCCCATGTTTTTTGTCAGTAGCATATGTTAAACGTCATTTCTTACTGTGACTTGAGTTTCCCATAAAGACAATACATTCTCCATGCCATTTCTGCCTGTGGTTTTTTGTCTGTATCCATTCCTCCAGCTGAAAAGTGGAACTTGACAGCCTCTTTTTTCCACTAATGAGGTCCAAAGTAGTTCTGTTATTTTCCTGTGCCAAACTGAGATGGGGAATTTGGGATATGACACAGAGAAAAAGTTCCAAGTACAGTTTCAGCATTCACAAAAGAATTTTATTTTCTTCTTTTAGCTTGCAGTTTGAATACAGTACTTTGCCTTGTACATCTTCATGTAAACAGACTGCTTTCCAGGTAGTCTTACTTTTTTTACTGCTCCTGGAAAAAAAGGAGAGAACTTATCCGACTTCGTTTCCTGAATGTGAGTGATCAGTATTTCACCCACTGAAATGAATGGCAAAATTCAGGTTAATTCTTATAATGCAGGCTTCATAGACTGGAAAAAGCTGCCAGAATAATGGTCAAAGTCATAAAAATATTGGTAAGAAAATGCAAAATTCGATTAAAAGAAAAAAATCTCTTTGTTTTCTAAGGTGTGTAGTGACCCCTGGCCTTTAGGTCCTAAAGGTCAGGTCACAAGTTATTTCTTCAGTGCTTTTCAGTGCTCCCAAAAGTTAGGCCAAAAATAAGAGGAGATTTTTCTTGTTGTTATCACAAAAGGATAGATAAAATTGTAATTGTAATTAAATGCTTAATAGGAATAATGCTTCCCTGTAGAAAAACCTTTCGTTATTTTAGGAAATTCTGTGATCAATTTTTGGTATTCTACTCAGAGATTAAATTTTTACCACAGTCAGATAGGTTCACTTAAATCAGTGCTAGTAGGAAACTATTTTGGAATGGATTGTGACCCAAAATGTTAATTCCAAGAAGATGTGCAAAGAAGGAAGTTTTCTGAACTGAGGTCTGCATTCTAGCATTTAACAGTCTAGATATTTATCTTTGCCAGCAGTCAGACTGAATTCCCAAGTAGTGCTAGAATTAATAGAGTTTCTCTGCAAATATACTTGTACAACAGATGAGCTTGGAATCTGTCTTGCTGAGGCTGCTTTTATTTCCTTAAAAAACCCAAACCCCAAACAAACAAAATCCAGTTTTCCTCAAAGAGGTTACAGCTCACTATGCCCTTGAGATTGTGCAGTTCCTTATCAGCTGTGTTGCTATGTAAAATGACCTGGTACTATGTATGTATTATTTGAGGAAATACTCCCAATTAACCTCTGGGGAAGTCTGCTCATCTTGGGGCAAGGTGATTTAGTTCATGCAGGGTCAGTAAGCAATCACATATTAGCTGTTTCTCTTTTTGACTGAAGAATTTCTAACATGAAACCCTTGCAAATAATTGCAAAACTTGAACTGTGAATTAATGGTAAAGTCTTGTAAAGCTTTTGGAATTTAGGTCTAGTGCAGATGTTTAAGCAGCTGATCAATGAAAGCTGATTCTGGAGAAAAAGAATATTCTGAAAGGCTCATATCTGTCTCTGAGATACAGGAATCAGAACACATTGTGTGGAGTCCTGTTTCCCTTTTGGATCTGTGGGACTCTGGAAGTACAACAGTTTAATTGACCCCTGCTTCTGAGGGACATCTATAAACCAGCAACTGAGTATAAAAGAGGTATAAAAGAGATATAAAAGATACAGTAGTGTTGTACAAGAGTAATTTTATTTTACATTATGTCCTTAGTCACATCGGGCAAGCCCATTCTAAGTTTCCCACAGGATATAAACATGGACTCTTAAAAAAATGTGCATTGTTCTGTGGTTACCTACATGGTTATGAAAGTCCATATTATAGAAAGAAACTTGTGTTTATAGCACAGTTTTATATTTAATCTTCCATAGTCTGTTAGTGGTGTGCAATCTCATATGCTGCTCTGAAATCTGTAATGATGTCAGACTAACTTGATGTGGTATGATAGCTTTCCTCGTAAATTTTCCTTTCTACTATTTTGTAATTTTGGAAAGGGAATGAAAGTGAAAAGCGGGTAAAAACTGATGGCTGACAAACATTCAAGTGAGGAAATGCCAGAGATGTTTGCCCAGATTAGTCATATAAATCTTTGCTGTGAAATGGCAGAGCCTGGCTTGTCTACCAACCAAACTTACAGCAAAGGTGTTTATCCAACTACCTCTTCAAGTGTGTCTCTGCTCCAGAATTTTCCTCTCAAGGTCTAGATAGCTAAATGTGCACGCATTACTTTTCTTAGAAATCACTTCCTGAATGTTGAAAGTCAAAAGAAAACTTTCACTCTACTGTGAAGAGTTGTCACTCTGCAGACAACTTTTTTTTCCCTGCAGACAACAACTTTTTTTCCCTGAGAGGTTATGTGTTTCTTTAATAAAATAGATTTGTCTCTATCTTTCTGCCAAACTTCAGTGCTGTAGCTCTATTTGTACTTGAACTAAGATTCTATTTGTGATGTTTATCTTTATTCTCCCACTCAATACCCAATTCAGAATTTTTCTAAACAATATTAAAACTCAGACTGGGAGCCCTTAGCCCCCAACACAAATTATAGGCAACAAGTTGGAAATAGATCTGCAGTTGTAATAACTACTTATTTGACTTCATTCTTAGGCACTTGTGCATACAGACCTTGCATCTAATGTTCTGCATGCAAATGGGCTTAAAGATAAAAGCCTCCGTTGAGTCACAATTCTTTACAACCCATAGAAGAGTGTGACAGAGGGACTGAAATTAAATCAATCCAATGTAATTTGAAGAAAATGTTACTCCTCCATCAGAAATATTAGCCTGTGCTGAGCTCCAGTTTAACTGTCATGCTCTTATAAATATTCTGTGAAAATATTTAATGATCCTGTGTGGCTAGTGATTCTGACAAAGAGTACTAAGCTAGTGTCACCATGTAATGTCTTGGTTATTTCATCCATCCTGATTTAGAGGAAAGAGTGCCATTTAATGAAACTTCCTTTCTTTACCTAAGCAGCATAGCTTTTCCTCAAGGACAATGAAGTAGTGTTTGGGGAATGATTACCTGAACACAAGTTTAGCATTAACCAAAGTGGAAATACTTAAATATTCTATTTCCATGCTGATCCTGTTTCATATAAAATAATGGAATTGTAGAATAGTTTGGGTTGGAAGGAATCCTAGAGCTCATCCAATTCCAATTCCCCTGCCATAGGCAGGGACACCAGGTTGCTAAAAACCCCTTCCAACCTGACCTTTAACACAGACAAGGTTGGGGCAGCCACAGCTTCCCTCAGCAACCTGTTCCAGTGCTTCACCACCCTCACAATAAAGAATTCCTTCCTAGTATCAAATCTAAATCTACCTTCTGCCAGTTTAAAGCCATTCCCCCTTGTCCTATATCTATATGCACTTGTAAAAGTCCCTCTCCAGATTTCTTGTGAGACTCATTTAGCTACTGGAAGCTTCTCTAAGGTCTCTGCAGAGCCTTCTTTTCTCCAGG